TTTCAGGTCATTCTTCCCTCCCTCTCAATCTCTGTCCTTGGCTTACCTGATCTCCCTAATATTTTCATGTGATTCTCTCCACATTTTTCCCCTTATTTCACTCTAACTTCCACATATGACAGAAAACATTCGATGCTTGATTTTCTGAGTCTTACTTATTTCACTTAGGGACAGGTTCAGAAAGTGTTTAAGTTGCCCACGCTGACCTTGAACTTGCAATCCTCCAATAGCTGAAATTAAAGGTCTGCACCACCACAACCATATGGAAATCTCTAGCTTTATATCAAATAGACAGAGAGGCACTGGGCTCCTAAATGGAAACTGTACTTCTATTTTTGCTAATACTCTTTCTGCTAAAAATGAAGCATTCAAAAGCACTAAGTTTTAAATATGAGAAAGAATAGTTTTTGACTTTGATGGTGAGTCAACACATCCTGCTACTTACTATTCCTTACCAAATAATCTAAGTTTAAAAAAAAACATATATTTTCTTCATCCAACAGTTTAAAATAATCTTCCAAATATAAATGAACTGAAAACACTTCCTTGATTATTTCTCAGCAAGTTTTTCATCCAAAACAAATGTCATCCCACACAACTGATCCCAAAGTATGCTGGTCTTCTCCAGTAACATTTTCCAAATTAAGAATTTACATCTTCTTGGTCTCATGGGTGGAATTATTTTAATTGTAGAATTTTCTAGTTATGTAGAATTTCCATTCATCACATCTAAATGTTATAAGTTTCAATGATATTTTTAAAAATTATTTCAAGCACACATTAACCACTTAGAATTAACCAGTACAGGTTAAGTATCCATTGTCTGAAATGATTGGGAAACACAGGGTTTCAGAATTTTTTTTTCACATTTTTGAATATTTGCATATACATAATAAGGACCCTTGGGTATGAGACCCAAATTTAAACACAAAATTCATCTGTGTTTCAAATACAGCTTACACACAACCTGAAAGTAGTTTTATACAATATTTTTAGTACACCCAAATTTTCACTGTGATCCGTTATCACATGAGGTCAGGTGTGGAATTTTCTACTTATGGCATGGACCGCATTGGTGCTCCAGAGATTGCAGATTTTCATATTTAGATTTATTATTTCCAATTTCAGATTTTCTGATTACGAATGCTTAACCTGTAACTTTGGCATTGTTATATTTTTTCCTCAAACAAAAATAAAGTCCTGGGCTTGAAGCAAGCCCCAAGGTTGCACTGCCCATATGCTCATTCATATTTTAATGAAAGTGGAAGTGTTTAGGGCACACTGGCTGTTGTGTCTTGCATTATCTACAACAGAGAAACTTTTAATTGGGGAAATTAATTGATATCATGACACAGATAAATAAGGCCGCAGCTGGTACATGAACAATGCTCCACTTCCTACCTTGGGAGCTTTGGCATGCTTCCCACACCTGGCATCCTTGACAAGGCTGAGATCTAACAGCTCCGTCTCCTGGAAGGCAAAAATATAAAATTGTTAAGCAACCACACGATATTTTCTCTTTGTTTTATGTCATTGACATCCCTTTAAAAAAATAATATTGTCTTAAGACCTGCCTGAACATTTCTCTGCAGTTAGGCTATTTTCCCCTCTTTTATCACTTCTCGGCTGAAATAGGATGGAAACAAAAAGATGGCTAACTGCTAACTATTCAGTTTAACATATATTGTAACACATCTGGAAAGCCTAAAGTACATGGTTTGAGTCCCCAATTTATTCTCCAAGCCATTCCTAAATCATGAGGAGTCAGTCCTTTTTGTTCCACTGTTGAAAATAATCCTGGAAGTCACAGAATACAGGTAAAGACACAAGGAAATGTGCAGGCATGGAGGATTAGGGAGGAGGATGGAAGCTCACAGGTATTACTACAAGCTCATCCAGCTAAGGTAAAGATATGGATCTGCCTCCTGCAACCCCAGCATTTTGTACATAAACCTCATGACCCTATAATTTTCTTTTGTGCATTATCGATTATTAAACATCTCCAATATGGAAGTTACTCTCAGCATAAGATACATAAGATGTGATTGCTTCCCTGGATCACCATCAAGTAGAGAGGTAAATAAATGTAGAGGTGCAGGACAAGGGAGAGTGATTTAAAGTCAAGTTCCATTAAAGGCTATTGGAGGTCAACAGAGAAAGAAGAGTATTCCCCCTAGAGGCTGGAAGAAAACTCCATGGAGGGGTCGTTAAGCTTGGAGAAGAGAAGTAGGGAGGCACAGAGCTCATCCCAGGTGCAGGGTTCACAATAACCCAAACAAGAATGGACTAGAGGCTTGGGCTGCATCTTGCGGTACTCATGGTTTTCAGACACTTATAGAACATTGTAGGGAAAGGGAATAGAGAGATCAAGAGACACACAGGAGTAAAGAAGAACAACACCCCAGGCACAGTGACGGTGTGAGAGGGGATTCACATGGGGGACATTCAGTATTCCATTTGGGTGGAGTGTTGAACATGCAAAGAAAAGTCATGCAGATGATGTCAGGGGGTTGGAAACCCTGAAAGTTCAGCTAAGGACACTGAGCCATGAGGTTTGTGACATACATGTCATAAAGTTATACAATAGACTCTGCCACTAGCCAGACAGGACTGGGGTGCCACAAATAGACTTGTCTTAAAGAGATCCAGATGTCCAACCTATGTCATATTTCAGTGGCTAACTGACAGGCCCTCAGGACAGGAATGTCTGACTTCTCCTAGACTGCAAGAAGATCCCCAAGTGCCTTCCCACTGGTGTTCCCAGGCAGCTTTTTCAAGAAGCTACCACCAATTCCAAAACAAGTCTGGTGAAAATGGTCTGATAATTTTCCTAAGGCTGCAATGCTTATAGGGGTCAAATCACAGGTAGAGTGCCTACCCTGAAATGCCAACCCACATAATAGGTCTAACAGAACACTTCTGAGGAATACAGGAAGCTGTAAAACACTGGGTCTCTTCTGGTGCTCACCCCGATTTTGAAAGGTTTCTTTCCCCCATTTTAGAGGATTCCATAGCCCAATTCACACTGTGTATGGCCCTGTGGAAGTCTTCCCAAGCCCTGTGGTATGATAGGTGGGAACCAGGTAAGAACCTTGCAGGATAGATGTAAAGTACTACTGTTTTCTCCAAGGCCATTTCAGCCACTATATTGAAGGTACCTGATCAGTGTTAGATAACAACAGCATCAACCTGGAATTCCATGCTTCCCCTAGGCAAAAGCCTTATAAAGCTCTTTATGGAGACAGGATGGGAAAACCAGCCTTAAGGAAGTTGAGCCTCTGGCCCAAGTTTCTTCACCTCCACAGCAACAACAACCAATCCATATGCTGGAAGAGGGGAAACAGGAAGGGAACCGACCTGATTCAGTTTAATCTAAAAGGTGGAACTGAGTGGAAATCTAGGAGACAAGATGAAGAGAAGAGAGATGAGAAAGGCAGTATGGTGTAGAATGGAACAGAAGTACAGGGAGGAATCAAAAAACAGTGATGGGATTTCTATCTTCCTCACTGGGACTTGCATTTTGGAGATATTGGTCTAAGAAGTTTATCTAAGTAGAAATGGCAGTCTTTAAGTCACTCAAGCATTATGAATTAGGTGCCAACAATGTGTCAGGCTATAGTACTAAGGATTAGGTGATAAAATGCAAAGATGAAATCTTTGAAAATGCACAGACATAGGCTATAGAAGGCTATGGCATCCTTTCAGCCAATCCACAGGATAAGATCCTTCAGGAGTTTGTCAGTCTTATAAATTTGCCTGGGGGAGAGGGTGACAGGTGTTTTCAGAAAGAATGAAAGGTAGGTGCAAATGCACAGAGCAAGGAGCTATGTACAGAAAACCCTGGCCCACTTGGGATGTACACTAGGGATCACCTTCAGATTTAGTGGACTTAATGTGACTGTCCCGTTTATCATAAAGCAATGGTATTTGTGTTGGGTTCTATTCAAGGAAGTTCCTCCCAGCTGAACAAACTATAGACTGAAGTGTTACTTGTTTGATAATATACACAAAGCCCAAATTGAGTTCACAAAGAACCTACATCGCAGCAAGCATCATTAGATAGACTTTTATATTACCGATAATGAACACTGTTTTCTACTTTCAGCTCCAAGGAAGCATTCCATTCCCAAGCCACCAAGGGTAGTTAATGCCATCTACCCTAGGGATTCATTCTGACACCAGAGAACTAAGAAATTTCTCTCACCCATGTGTAAAATTGCATGCACAGGAAAACCACTGCAGGGCATCATCGATGTGGGTAATGTGGCATGGGAAAGACCCAGGTGGAAAAGCTCTTCATGGACTCATTCGGCGAGAAAGTGATCATTAAAATAGTATCTCTTCCTTCTATTAACATGCAACAGCCACCCCTCTGAGGCTTAGCTACATCTTTTTCTCTCCTCCCCTAGGAGGAAAATGAAGAACTCAATGCACAGGACCACAACAATGTTATTTGTGTCACTGAAACTTTATCTAGGTTAATTTTCTTTCCTTAATAGTTTTAACTACCCACTCTCATTATTATAAAATGGTGAAGTGGTCCCTTTCTCAGTTCATTTAAGAGTTACTGCTTTCTAGCTTTGCAAAATTCACTACTACTTTGCTCATTTCTTTTTTTTTTAAATTGATTTTTTAAAAATAAATGACAGCAGAATGCATTACAATTCTTGTTACACAAATAGAGGACAATTTTTCATATCTCTGATTGTATATAAAGTATGTTCACACCAATCCGTGTCTTCAAACATGTACTTTGGATAACACTGTCCATCACATTCCACCATCCTTGTTAACCCCCTGCCCCCTCCCTTCCCCTCCCAACCCTATTTTGCTCCTTTCTTAAGAGCAAGGATCACCTGATACACAAACAGGAAACATAAGCATAAGTAAGGGCCCTGAAATTAATTGTAATGTCTTCAGCCAATCATTTTCCCACACTAAGCATCAATTGTATCATCAACTAAATGAGGATGATAACACCTTCCAAAGCAGTGGCTCTTAAAATGTAGTCTTCTGGAAGGGCTGCTACAACATAGATTAGCTGGATACTTCTCATCAGAGTTTTGGTTCAGTAAGTGTGCAGCAGACTTGAGAATCTCTATCTCTAATAAACTTCCAGTAATGCTGATGCTGTTTGTCCAAGGACCACACTTTGAGAAGTACTGATAGATACACACTCATAGGCTGTTGCTATAAGGCTTTTAGGTTAACGTGATTGATAACACTATACAGTATTTATACATTATGTGAAGAATCTGTAACTGTCATTTCTTTCTACAGGGAACTGTCAAAAATATTACATCTATTGCATGTAAAAGTGTGCCTGATCTTGAATAATCTAGGCCTGGATTTAACTGAAGAAAAATGCCATCAACTTCTATTTAAAAAATTTTCTTTGTATTAAATATCATTCTCTACAAGTCTTTAAGTGTTAAGAAATTCAAGCAATCATTGAAATTGTTTTATGTTGGCAGGAACTACTACTTATAGTTTGTACTATTATTCATAACATTAAAAATGTCTTTAAAAAGTTGAAGGAGAAAATTGGTTTTCTTTAACCTCTAAGCCCATCCAACAGCCAAAAAGGGATCTGAGTACACAGTCATGTGACTTGCTTGGAGAGTAAAGGAAAAATGCAGTAAGAGATCCTTTTATTTCAGGCTCACAATGACACCTGCAAAAATTGGAAATCATACTTCCAGGATCCCTAATGCATTTACTTGACTATTGTGCTTTCTCCCTTTGTAAGAATGGATAAAAGTAAATTAACAGTGATCAAAAGTTTTTGAGGATTGTATGTTATTTTAAAATTTTGAATGAATGATGACAAAACTGATCCTTGCAAGCTAAGGGAAAACTGAATGGTCTCTGATGTTTACCATTCAACAGAAAAATTTCAATCCATCAGCCTCAAACCTACTGTGAGGTAGATGAGCCATGAAATCCACTGCAAACTCAGGAAAGAATACAATTTAAAACCCAACTCTTTCCAGAATACAAATTTCTGTGCATTGTTACCAAATTCCATTAGTCACCCAATATAATAACGTGCTTCAAGTTCACACAATATATAATCACAGCAGCAATTACAGTCATGAGCTTTTCACACAGAAGATATTAATGGTTGGGTGTGTGTGGTGTGGTGTGTGTGATTATGTATACCTCTACATGTGGTGTATTCATTAAGTTGTTCAACCTCGATTTACCACAACTGGAATACATTGATATATTTTTGACTGCCAAATATCCGTACAAAGCACAAGTTAAAAACCCTATTTTAGAGCCCTTTAATGAAGGGGTTTTAATTTTAAAAGAAGCAGATGGACTTAAACTAAATGCTTTGTTCCTTTATTCTGTTTTTGAGGAGGTACAAAATCTAAGCAGTATAGTTCTTAAAAAAAAAAAAAAATCTCTGCTTTGTCTTCCACCTGGTCTCCTGTTTCCTTTGTTCCCTATGCATGTTTTTTTTG